TTTAACATTGAATGGCTCTACCACCTGGCACACTCCCAACACTGCCCCTTCCTTAAGTGTCTGTTCACATTTGGAGAAACTGGCCACTGTTATAGGTACTACTTGATGACCTGCCACAAATGACCTTCCAATCTTCAAATCCGCTGGCCTGGATGGGTCTTCCACAAGCATTGGGCTTTCTTGGGGATGTTCTTTTATACTACAATCTGTTGAACAAAAGTACCCTCAAATTCAAAGTAGTTAGACAGTAAATTAATAGGCAACATAAACACAGAATGCACTTACAGAAGTTGCCATGGTGCAATGCATACATTTTGCAGACCTGCAAGCCTATACGTTTCTTGCTACATATTTTATCAGCATGATAGAAGATGGATTTTATTCAATCTGGGCAAATCTTCAATATATTTGATTGTATTGTTACGACAACGTAAGTCACGTGACTCTAATAACACGTCATGATATTCTCAAAGGTTCTTGAATGCTCGTGTGTTTACTGGATGTGCGGTATATAAGACCGACAAGAAGTGACGGCAACAATGGAATGGAATTGAATTGCAGACAGAGATAGAGACGGACAATTGAGTCAAGCGGGTGAATCGTTCGTTGTGAATTATAGCGTTTGTTTAAGTTAACTGACTGTGGGAATTAAATGTATTGCAAACTTGTATTGAGAAAGAATAAACTAGTTTTATTTAAGAACGGACTTGTATTGCTGAAGTTTTTCCGAAATAATTTCTACGGAAAATTAACAAACGACCAGAGGTGTAACAATATTTTTTATTTCTTCTCACAGTATATGTTGCAGCTAACAGTGGATACATTTTATGTCACCTCAGACCACTCTCTTTAACTAGAATATTAACAATAGTGAATAATAATTAAAACGCATCTACTCAAATGACTGATAGGTTAATATATTTTCAAACTTATAATTTCTTACATTTCAAGCTACTATTCAAACAGACACTAAAAGAAACAGACGAAAATCACAAATGATCTTAAAGAGATTTTCATATTTGTAGAATGTTATCACAAAAAAATTCTTCTTAATGGCTCTTGCAAACATTTAAAATATTGATGAGAAAAAGCTTTTAAAATAATTTAATCGTTGGAATGTATGGTCAGTTGTATAGATGATGATGAGAAAAGGATTTTAAAAGAGATTAGATTGTTTGTTTTTTGAATTTCGTGCACAGCTACACGAGGGCTATCTGCACTAGCCATCCCTAATTTAGGAGTGTAAGACTAGAGGGAAGGCAGCTAGTCATCACCACCCACCGCCAACTCTTGGGGGACTCTTTTACCATTGAATAGTGGGATTGACCATCACATTATAACACCCCAAAGGCTAAATGGGTGAGCATGTTTGTTGGGACTGGGATTCGAACCTGCAACCCTCAGATTGCGAATCAAGCGCCCTAACCACCTGGCCATGCTGGGCCAAAAGATTAGAAAGTAGAAACGTTGTAGGCTAGGAATACATAATTTAAGCCACAATTTGAAAAGTTAATTTTAATTTCTACCTGAAACATCTATTATTGGAATATTATGTGTATGGGTATGTTGTAAGCTTTCACACTTTAAAACTAATAATTTCCATTCAAAATTATATCAAAAATTAAGAATCCATAACTGATTCTGACATGATATTAAATTTCTGTATAATAGTATTATTGTTTCAGTAAAACTGTATGAAACATTTATTGTATTGTCTACATTTATTATAATCAGCTAGCAGACAATGATTTATAAGCAAAATGTGCTTTCGTGCTCAACTCAACATTTACTTTATTATACAATTTAACAATTCAGCCACTATTGCTACGTTTTAGGAAATGAAGAAAATGTGCATTTTTGTTCAGAATATGCACATTGTAACTAATTTACATTTCCCATTTCTTAATACTTATTAGGTTACTTCAATGTTATAATTGTTAATGTGTTTCTTAAAACCTCTTACTACCAATGAACATACAACACCTGATTCTTTTTACTTTGCCCTAGAAATTAGTCTACTCTTTCCCCTTAACAATCACATAATGGATAGTTTTAATATTACTTCTGTGTTCACCAACATTTCCCCATGATAAAACAATTAATATTTCCTTCTTTAAACTTCAAAATAACCTATTACATTATTTAACAAATTGTCTAAACCTGACTTCAAATCCATGCAGCAACTCACCACACACACACAAAAGAGAACATTTTTCATTTCAACAATATTCTATATGAACAAATAGATCATGCTGTGATAGGTTTTCCACTGAGAATCATATTTGTCAGTCTGTTTTTTGTCACCATGAGCATGCTTGGTTCAAAGTGTATCCTGCAGACTTCAAACCCATCTGCTACAGAAAGTATGTTTACAATACTTTTATATGTCTGACAAATCCTAATTATCTTAAATCATGATATCCTTCCATAAAATCTACATGCAAGACTCAACCGTTATTAGATGTTTTCATCAATCATGACTCCAGAGGCTTTTCCTACTTCTGTCAGTGGGATAGAAACACCTACTGGCCTATTCATTCAGTTTGATAGCTTCATTCCATTTATTTACAAATGTAACATTCTATAGTGTTTACTTTATGGAGTCTACAACCTTTGCTCTACCTACCTAGTCCTTCACAGAGATTTCTTTTTTACAAAACATCATAAATTAGAATGCCTACCAAAAACACTTACTCAAAAAATCATACACTCATTTTATCTTATAAAATCGTAAATCAATTCTAACTACTCTCTATACCTAAATCCTCATTATTCTAAAATATTTAATAAAACATGGTTTGTGGCCTTACATTCATATTTTGTTTTATGATAAACCATATTTTTAGGTACCTGTATGCAGTAATGTTCAAAACCTAAATCCTTTTCTCATCAAGTTTAAAGAATTATCAGCCAAATATTCTATACAAGCATAATATTTTATTGCCAAGTAAGAAATTACACTTCATCATTGTATTCAAACAAACCAGAAGTCAGTTCCATAACAAACAATACAGTTTTAACTTTTTGAATATTCATCTAAATCCCATCTCTTCAGTGTTCTTCATCTATGTTGCCTTATCAACTGGTAGAGACAACAGCTAAGAAGAGAAAAAAAAGAAGATATATGTGTAGAAAGACTGATAAAAACAAACATCACACATCATGAACAGTTTTTATGTTAAAATAACATGTTTGTTCTGAAAAAATTATACTAGGTTAGAATTCACATAAAATGTGTTTGATTACCAAAATAATATGAATGGAATAATTTGAATATGACATATCTCTACGACAAAATGAGGAACAGAAGTTTGCTATTTTAAAATGAGATTATCTATTCGTGAAAAAGATTAGTGCAATCTCGATAACGTTACAGCCCATGTCACCACATTTAATCATGCTCTATCTGACGACCATGATTCTTGGCAATTTCTCTGAAGCATGGTTTCCATTGCAAAAGGCTGTCATGTCCACAGCACATCACTTCTCCATCACAGGCTTTCTATAATTCATCTAGTGCTTGCAGGTGATGGTTTCCTAGCATTTCAATAGTCTGATTGTACAAACACCCATAGGCACTGTGTCTAGCAAGTTGAGTGTTATGTCTTCATATGGAATAGCATTAACACCTATTTCATTCTTCAGCTGTTTGAGATTTGTGACAGTTTAATGGCTATTTTGTGGAAGCAACTGTGTACATGTGAATTGTGCCACTTTTCTAGATACAGATCCTTCTTGGTTATGTAACATACTCTTGGTTTGTGACTTGTGGACAACTTTTTCTACTGAACTTTACATTCATGGATTCTTACCTGTTATGAGACACACTTTCCTTTCCAAGGCTGGAGACATGACTTGTTATAGGTTTATTTATGGATGGTCTGGATGCCCTAAGGTGATTCATGTTACTTTGTTTTCAAATGCCATTAAGTACAAAGAATATCTTTATCTAAATCCATCTTTATGATTTGAATGTATGAATATCTTGCATTGGAAAGGGCTTTTACATAACCTTTCTGAAGCAATCAGTTTTTGGTGACATCACATTACCTATGAAATGCCAAACAGTGTTATAACGTAGTTCTCACACACATTCTGTCCCACCACCCCTTTATATCTGAGACTGTTTGAATCTAACCCCAGTTATTCAGGAGGAATTTATGCTGAAGAAAGAAAACATCAAGATGTTGATAGGATGTAAAATAAAAAACTATAATGTTATAAAATAATTTTTTTAAACATTTAACTGAATGTATCTTTCTGCATTATATTAATAAATACTAAAGTTGTACTTTAAATTAATCACTTGTCATTCTGAATTTTTTAATATATACACATATATACCATCTGTCTCACATGAGTTCATGATTATAAATCTTTTTGTACCGCCATTTTAAATAACTGATTGATTAACAAAGATGACACAATAACATATTTGATTTCAAAGCTTTGTGAAAATTTACAAATATCAGATTTTTTAACACCGAGTTCACTAGTTAATATTCAAGAGTTTCCAAAATAGTTTAAAAAAGACTACATGCTCTAAATTTCTTGAACAACTGAAAATGAGAGAGAGAAATGATTTCAAGTTTATTGAAAAAAATTAAAAATCAATAGCATGCTAATGATGAATTAAATTATATAAACATCTCACAGTAGTACTAAATTGTTACTTTCTCATCATAACAGTTATTTTTCTAACATTGATATTTCATTGTCACTGAAACTCAATGCTGTAAAATCTGCAGTTTATTAAGCATTATCTTATTAATAGAAATTTGCATGAAATTAAATGGAAATAATAATAAATATTTAAAAAAATCCATACTTAGCAATATTGTGCCATTTCAAAATATTTTTGATATGAAAATTAATGTTCTGTATCATACGCTAACTGATAAGCAACAAAAAACATGCAAGATCTGTCATCAAAAAGCATTTGCATGTAATGTACCAATACAGTAGACAAAAAGGATTAACCTCAACTAAATTCTTAAAATAGCACCAAGGGAAATATACTTTGTAACCAGCTAAGTGATAGCCTAAAGTTCAAATATGATCAAAACAATATCTAATTAAAATCATAAATAATATTCAACGTTAAACTGGTACACAATTAAAAACATTTTATTTAGGCTTATCTATGGCCTAAATAAAATGTTTTTAATTGTGT